CTTTGTGACCAAATAGCTCAATCTTTTTGTCCATGTAGGCAGATTTTGATCATGACTGGATCATGTTCGTAGCAGTGGCTTCTTTACTGATCAGTTCCTACTCAGTTCAGTGGAGTGTGAAACTGGCTTCCCTGTGGACAGTGATACTGGTGTTCCAGCTGTTTCCAGTCCATGACTAGCTTGAGTCCTGCAGGAACATCCTAACTAATTCATTTGTACCTAAGGGTGATGGTATGAGTCTTAGCAAAGCAGTGACACATTAGATTAACTTGTACATGCTATTGTTTGAACTGATAGTCTTGGAACCCAAAGTTGTGAGTCCAGTGGACTTTTCCCATTGTTTTAAGGTTTTGACCATAAGTGCTGTCAAACAAATCATCAAATTTCATGCTTAATAATCCAAAATGTGTCAAACAAATGTCAAATAATGTCAAACAAATCCTTTTCACGCTGGCTAATTGAAACCACCAGCTGCAGTCGATCATGTACAATATGAAATATTGAGAAAATCCACACTAAAGACTAACTTCTGCCCCCAAATCTTGTTTTTAAAAATCTTTGAAGTTGCAGGTTCAATATAAATAATTAAAAGCCTCAAATACTTCATTCATATCCATGATGAGTGGATGTGAACCTCTAACAGCAACTCGTTACTCTTGACTTCTTTTTGCCGAGTCGGTACTGATATATTTACATTTGCTGCTCTTGTAGGGCAGCTCTGTGTTGGGGTCTCCGTTTCTGAAGGGCTTCTTGGCCGGCTATGTGGTGGCCAAGCTCCGCTCCTCGGCCTTCCTGGGAGTGCTGCTGGGAACAGCCACTGGTATTTACGCAGCACAGAACTACCAGGTGCCTAACGTTGAAAGGACCATTAAAGAGTTTATGAACGGACTGAAAAAGGGGCCAAAGTGATTTGGGTCGACTTCGTCTTTTTCAGTGATGGGACGAGCACGTGAGGGAGAACTGGATTATTCGTACACTTTTAACTGGGACCTCGAGAGGATCTTTTTTAACCACTTTTTTTAATTTTTTTTATTACAATTGTTTATAATTTAATTTGACACTGCTTGTCCAAAAAAATCATGTCAAATGTTGTGCCTTTAGGATTTTAGAGTTTTTATTTTGTTACAAATTGTAATCTGGTTGAGTTTTTGTTGCCTGGAGCAACTTTTTTTTAAAGTCTTTGGACGTTGAACTGGTGAGCTGCAAAAACCGACAACAACAAAAGGTACGAGTCCAGGCGTGAATTCTCTACGTCTTTATTAGTCAGTTTGAAATACAGACAATACAAGAAAATATTTAAATTTAAAAAGGAGTGAAGATTTATTTTGCACTAATGCTGGAATGAGTGTTTGTTAGGAATCAGGTGTTTTTGTGCTTCTTTGAGGATGATTGTGATTAAAAATGTAAGGCCCAGTTCCCTGACGAGGATTAAGAGACGCTGGGTGAGCAGGATTAAATGGGGTGTCCTCCTGGGCCTGATGGTCCTCATCTATGGTTCTCATGCGCCACTCATCGCCCTCACCAAGGTGGACGGTCGAGTCCCTTTCAACGCCGCCTCGTGTGTTCTGATGATCGAGCTAACTAAACTCCTCGTCTCTTTGCTGACTCTCTTCTTCACCAGAGGCACATCGACCCTGAACGCTCCTCCAGATCTGTTCCTCATGGCCCCCTACGCGGTCCCTGCTGTTCTTTACACCCTCAACAACAACCTGGTTGTTCTCATGCAGGCCTACATGGACCCGAGCTCCTACCAAATGCTCTCTAATCTGAAAATAGCCTCGACTGCCTTGCTGTACTCCGTCTGTTTGGGCAAAAGGCTGCAGCTGGCGCAGTGGTTTGCTGTGGGGCTCCTCATGGCTGCGGGGATCTGCCACAGCTACAGCAGCCTGGATCTAGAGGACCCCGTTCAGGCTGAAGCTGAAAAAGTTCCCAGGCTTCACATCACAGCTTGGGGGCTTTTTCTTGTGCTGGTGTACTCCTCTGTGTCAGGGCTGGCAGCAGTTTACACAGAGAGGGTCCTAAAGAGCCAAAAGTTGCCCCTCAGCCTGCAGAATCTCTACCTCTACATGTTCGGAGTGGCCATCAATGGGATGTCCTCCTTCTCGTACGCGGCGGGGGACAAAGGCCTCCTGGAGGGCTACTCAGGAGTGGTTTGGGTCATCATAGCGGGACAGGCAGCGAACGGACTCCTGATGTCGGTGGTTCTAAAGCACGGCAGCGGAATCACCAGACTGTTTGTCATTTCCGCCTCCATGCTGGTTAACGCTCTGCTCGCCTGGATCATCTTAGGTCTGCGGCTCACGCCTTTTTTCCCCGTACCTTGTGCAATGATTGGACTGGCAGCTTACCTTTATTATAGATAAAAGAGCATCGCACAAAGAAACTACGACACCTCAGAAGATCTTGTGACTAAACTCGGTGAGAATTCAACATGTATTTGTGTTAATGGTTCGTACCACAATTTAAAATACTAAATGTTATTTTAAGCCATGTTGACTGTTACAGGTAATTACTACCATGCTTTATCATCATATGAACTCTGGAAACAGCTGTCTGAAAGTCTTATATGTGCAAACCAATAAATTGTCAGAACCGTGTGTGATTTTTGTGAAGCAGATTATTTCAGTCATTCTTCGGGGGGTATCAGCTCAGCTATAGGATCCCCTCGCACAGCAAGAGCATCCTTTATTCCTCCAAGTACTGAAAAGTAAAACAAGATAAACTGTTAAATGTGTCAGTTTGCCTGCAGTTGTTTGACCGCCTGCTGATAGTGACCTTTACGAAGGCGTTTGTTGTCAGCCTGCAGTGTCTGGTTCTGAGCTGCTAAGTAGACGGCGTCCTGCACGGCGTCCAGGAGCACACTCCTGTACCTGCCCTCAGAAACCCTCCTCTGCTCCTCGCTGACCTGACGAAACACTTGGAACACCTTTCAGACACGAAGAGGAGATCAAGAATGTTGGGATGATGCAGCTGAAGAGGCTTTACACGAGTCATCGACTGCAGCAACAAGCAGCTGTCTAACAGAAGAGAAATGTTTATCTCATTTATTGATGAGACCTTTTAAAGGTTTTCTGCAATCAGTCGTCACAGCCTTGAGCAGAAAAACCTCATCATTGAATCCAAGATGAGAATTCTTTCAGTTGTTTGATACCTTAAGCTATTGAAAATGTTTCATCTTGAAACGTTTATTGGAATCATGTTAAAACTTCAGGGTTAAAAATAAAACACTGCTGCCCCCAGAAGTCTTTCCATTACAGCACTTTTCATTTTGTGTGAAACATTTACCATGTACAGTAAATTAATTAGAATTTGTAAGTGCTAAGTATTTTCAATGCTAATTGTTTTAGAAAGTTAGCCTTTTACATTTGCACGTCTGCATTCTGGTAGTTTGATAGTTAATGAATCTAGCGTGCTTTGCATGAATGCACGCTGCACTGAAAGCCAACATTTTAATGCTAAGAGTATGTGTTGAGGATGCTTCTCGGCTACTAAACAAATTTGAGCTCAATATCTGAAACTGAATTATCTACGCTTTTGGGTTTTCTAAGATCGATTAGACACGGACGCCATCTTGATCCATGTTGACTCCAAAAGTTAATCAGTTGTAGATGAACGTCTAATTATAATTTATGAAGGTTTAATTTGAACCAGTCTACTAGTTAGAGATATTTTGCTAACCGATGTACACCACCTTTTATTTTGCCACACTAAGGTGTTGTAAAACATGATTGTTCTGTGAAATCAAACACAAAAAGTGAACGTGGTAAGAAGTCTTTACATTTTGTCTTGATGCTCTCAGTCGTTTTTTATGGATGTGAACATCAAAACACTTCAGCCAACACAGAGCAGGAGTTCATAAAGGGGTGGAGGCCAGTTTAATGTCCCCAGTAGAATCAGAATCAGCCTGTTTGTCTTTGGACTGTGTGAGGAAAACACTGACCAACAGGTTCAAAGCTACAGAGCAAACCACTTCATTCTGCAGAGCTGCTGCCTCAAATCACAAGTCCTATAAATGTCTAAAGTTCACTGATTTACTCTGGATGAGGATCTCTTCAATGTGTGAGATTAAAATCGGTTCTGATCCAGTAAACTCACCTGCAGGCTCTCCTCCCTGAGACCGTGCAGTTCTGTTTGGTGTCTCTGGTGTTGGTCCTGCAGGTCTCTCTCTGCCTGCTGGGCCTCGGCACGAAGGGCCTCCACCTGCAGCACCAGGAGCCGCCTCTGTCTGCTCAGCACCTGCAGCTCTCTCTGAAGACTCTCTGCCTAGCAGAGCAACAGAAACAACCCGGGATGAAAACATTAAAAAAATGTGAAAATAATTCATTTGGAAACGTATCATTTGAGCTGACTCAGCATCCTGGACTGAGATGGAGCACAGACTCTTCTCACCGCTGGCTGCTCCTGCGTCAAGTCGTCCTCCATTTTTGCCACCTCCTCTTCAATTAATCTCGCATGATCCTCCTTAAGTTGCCTCCTCCGCTCCTGCGCGGCGTCGTATTCCAACTGAGGCTTGTTATTAAATTGGCAAAACAAATGTCTTATAAATAAAATAAATGTTCACTCGTACAAATCCTTTTTAGATGCTGAAAAGACTATTGATTCGAGCTGTTGACAAACAAGGAGGCTGCACGCATAAAACTACAAAAACTTGCCCTCCGACTAATAATTACAGCCTTCTCAAACAAATCCCTCAGCAAAATGTGCTCTTTACTGAGGATATTTAAAACACCTGACTTTTAAAACTCATGGGAAATATAGAGAGTAGCTAGAAAAAATATTTTTTCTGCAAAATTACAGTGGTGAGTTTAGCCTCTTTTTGGGGGTACTCAAGCACTATACATTTTAACTTAGCACCCCTGAAAAATGAAGTATAATTTTTTTGGGGGGATTTTTTTTTTTTTTTTTTTTGGAGTGGTTCAGTTCATTGCATTTATGATTAAATTAAACAAAATAAACAAATTTAAAAGGTAACGGATCATTGTAATACTTGGTTTGTTTACATAATGACTAATTGCTGGATGTCCGGACCCTGAGCTGCTGACTTTCAGAAACTGTGGCCCCTGAGCAGTTTAGTTGATTATTCTGCTTTAGAGGGTGGAGGACAGTTTATTCCATTTCCAAAACCTAAACTGAGTGTGGAAAAATGTAAAAGATGATGAAGATCTGTGGCCGACCTCATGAGCAGCTGAATACGACAGTGATAAACAGGAAGTACCGCATGTTCTTCTGTATGAAGGTAACTGCAGGTAAATCCTCCATTTTTGTCATAATTACATTGTATGCTTAATATTTAAATTAAAGGTTAATGATTAAAGCTAGTTGTGCTTTTATTTGTGTGTTTTGTAGATGTATTTTGCAACTTCTGGTTGCACAAGTTTGATGACCATAGTCTTTATGATCAGTTAAACTGATTCTGGACAAGGTGTTTATTAGTTAAAGCAGAGCACTACGTCTGTAGCATCATAGCACGTCTGTATTGCATGTTGCTAGTTTAGCGCTACTTCTTGGGCCGAGCTCTTTAAAATATTTATTGAATCAAGTGTTTACTTCTAGGTAAATGTAAATGTTTAACAACCTGTTAAAATACACCAGATTGCAGGAAATGGCATCTACTTTATACCAAAATTTCTGGTGGAGGTCCCCCCCCCCCCTTCACACACACACAAATTATTAATGCTTCTGACGCTAGTGGCCACCATGTTGTTCAAGCCAAGAGCCATTATCAGCACTGGGGGCTAAGCGCCCCTAAAGATCTAGAATCACCCCTGGTGTAAATGCTGAAGACAGATTGCTTAAACTTTCTGAGAAAAGTGTAACTTAATAAAGAAGCAGAACACTGACTACAATAAGCAGAACTCTAGCTAAAATCTAAAAGAAGCAGAGCACAAGCTAAAACAAGCAAAATGCAAACTAAAAGCTAAAAGTAACAAAACGAAAAGAGCAAGTCTTTTGCGATAATCTAGATCTAGTGAAATTCCATCTACAAAAGACTAGCTAAAAGCTTTTTGAAAAAGCAAAAACTAGCTCAATGTAGCATAAGGCACATTAAAGGTATAAAAATGTGACCTAGAAGATGGGCAGAATGGTTGTCAAAAGCCAAAAGAGATAAAAATACTAGCTAAAATTAGCAAAATGCTAGTTAAAAGTAAAACAAACAAGCAAAAAGTAGCATAATGTTAGCTAAAATCTAAAGCTAACAAAATGTAAGCTAAAAGCAGCTAAAGGCTGGCAAAAGATAAATGTACAATAACAGTAGCTAAAAACTAAAAGTAACATAAGGAAACAAAAATAGCTGAAGCAGACTTCAGAGAGGATTTCTTTAACAAAGAAAATTACGGATGTTGTTTACTTGTCGACTGAGCTGTGGTTTCTCTCCGACGGCTCCGCTCTTCAGCGTTTCTTCTCTGCAAGCATCTTTCAGCTGTTGGATTTTTTCTACTCTCTCCTGGACTTTCTCCACACTGCCTTTACCTTCTGTAAATATCAGGGAAAACAAAAGAACACATCTGTCACAGCTGGACTGTTTGACCAACCTACATTTTGAATCCCACCTTGGAGATGTTCCTGCATTTCTCGTCTCAGTCGATCCTGTAGATGTCTCATTGCTTCTGTGCTCTTGGTCTGCTCCGTCAGACGACCTCCAGAAATCTGCTCGTGGCTGTGTGAGGATTTATAACTCTGCTGAGGTCAACCAAACATGGAAGCCGTTTTGTTGCGCTGAGACCAACTACACTTTAACATTTGAACTGCACTTAATTGATGAGGAAAAAAATCTTAATTTAAACCTTGATGTTGTTTTTAATCTTCTCTGATTCTTCCCTCCTCCTCTCCCATGACTGCTCTCTTACTATCTGTTATGGAGATCACAGAAGGTGTTTTTAGCATCGCCTCAGTGTGACACCTCACCTCTGTATCGTAACAGTCACCTGCAGGTGTCGACTCAGCTCGGCCAGCTTGTAAATGTTGTGAGCTTCACTGCCCTCTTGAGACATGATCTTGTTTTGGAGATCCATGACGCCTTCACGGAGCTCTCGCTCCGTTGCCTTTGGGTTCCACCGACCATTTTTGGCTTCAGTAACCAGTCCTCTCACTTTCTGAGCCAATTCTAAAGCACAAGGAGCCTCATTGTTTAGAAGACCTGCAAAGAGAGAATGACCTGAGTTAATCTTAAAGGATTGTTTTTAAAAATCAGCAGCAATCCACTTTGGTATTGGCTCAAATTGGATCATGATTAGCTCGTCAATCTGGCCAGAATTGAACCATTTCTCCAAACTGGGGTTGTTCAGGGAGCTACGTATCTACAACAGGTAGGATATTAACTGTTTTTAACCTTTCCACAGAACTCCACAAGTTTCCGCCACAAGTCCAACACTTATATTTATTATTTTTGTCTAAGTGGCACTCTTACCTCGAGGATTAATGCAGTAGACCAGGAACGTCCTGCAGTTTCCTGTTAGGGCGTCTTTAAGAAGCGAGAGGAGGAGGTTGTTGCTGTCTGCAGCAGAAGAATTCAGCGTGTGGTCAAAAAACTTCACCAGTGGGCTTAGGCTGAAAAAATGTTCAACAAAAATATACAAGTTAAAAAATGGAGAGGAGA